GACGAATACGGACCAACTCTCCACACTGGGCCCCCGACTCCTTGAGCTCTCCTCCCACTCCGCGTTTTTCTTCCTTCCGGCGTCCATCTCTACACCCCGCCTTATTTATTTCTTGCGGTGTGCCCCGACTTGGCGACGTTTCGATGCCCTTACCCTTTACGACGCCAAACTCAAGGAGTCAATGGAGGGGATCCTCAACTGCTCACTTTCCCCACAATCTTGGCTTCAATCCTCCCTTCCCGTCGGCGATGGCGGCTTGGGGGTAAGGCACGCTGTAGACGTGGCGATTCCGTGTTTTCTCGCGTCCGCTTACAGTGTCCTTCCCCTTGTAGAACGCCTACTCCCGCCATACCTCCATGGCACCGACACCGCAATGCAAGAAGGGGAAGAGAGATGGAATCCAATGGGACCTGCAGAACTCCCCCCGCCGGAAGTTAGAAGCGTTCAGGCGTCGTGGGAGATGCCTCAGCAAGAGGCCGCTATCAACCACCTAAGAAATGGAGCATCTACTCAAGAGGATAAAGCCCGTCTCCTCGCCATGGTACAACCTCATGTGGGGGCGTGGCTCAATGCCGTGCCTTCCCCACAACTTGGGACGCTACTCCCAAATGAGACTTTTCGCATCGCTTGTGCCCTCCGTCTTGGATGTGACGTCTGCCGCTCCCATAAATGTCCATGCGGAGCTATGGTCACATCACGAGGCTACCATGGCCTAAGCTGCAAGAGTAGTGCGGGGCGTCATTCCCGCCATGCCGCAGCAAATGACGTGATTTGGCGAGCTCTTCGTTCCGCCGGAGCCCCCACTATTAAAGAGCCAGCCGGTTGCTCCCGGCCAGACGGGAAGCGCCCTGACGGACTGACATTGGTTCCTTGGGCAAGAGGGCGGCCCCTGGTATGGGACTTTACGTGCGTCGACACTTTTGCACCGTCTTACCTCCCCCAAACCTGTGTTCATCCTGGTGCAGCAGCCGAGAGGGCGGAGGGCAGGAAGACAAAAAGGTACGAAAAGGTACCTTCTGGACAGATTCCTCTTTGTTCCCGTAGCCGTTGAAACAACTGGAGTATGGGGAAAGGAGGGCCTGTCCCTTATCAAAGAAATAGGGTCCAGGATCACGGACCTCACGGACGAGAAGAGGGCAACGCCTTTTCTCATCCAAAGAATAAGTATCGCAGTTCAACGCGGAAATGTGGCCGCGATTGTAGGATCTCTGCCAGCAGGACGAGAGCTGGATGAGATTTTTTATTTTTAGGACGACAACAATTAGAGGAATTTTTTTAAATATTCAGATAGGGAAATTTATGTACGGCGCTGGTCGTTTAGCTTTTTCGAAATAAACGTATGTAAAATGAACATGGAAAGAAGAATAATAAATTATACAAACAAATATTTAAATTTACTCAGACACACTAATCGCACATAATTTGAAATATTCCGATCACTTCAGTTCAGGCATCAGTCGTTCATCTCAAATGTTAACGAGGTTAAGACGTACAATGCCAAACATATGCACACCCCAATGCCCCACGCCGACAAGGAGATTATACAAACCTTGTTTGGCTTTTTATACTTCTTCCTAAAAAAAGACCAAGCTCCTAACATATTTCTAAACTAACTAAACCCAATGAGGATAAATGCTAAACAGATATATAAGTAGAAAATATGGAAATGACGCGAATCCTTGCAAAATTGTCACTGCTGCGAACGACATCGACCTTCCGATTTCCTCAGCTCCATTAGAGTACGAATTATTTAAGGACATGTTACCTAGCCTATATTTTGAAACTAGGCTTTAAAAATTTTGAAGACAGAAAAGTGGATTAAATACTTATTTCTCCCAAGTATGTATATTCTAAATATATATATCAAAATGCTCAAAATCTCTTTCCAATTGTTTTGTTAAGATTCAGGAAAACAAAACGGTATACGGAGGCCAGCCACCCACCAAAAGCGACCTCCCATAAGCTACTCTTATAATCATCTTCATTGATTAAACCTACTCCAAGCAACTTTGCGGGGCATTTTAAGATGACATTATTCACTGAAAGTCCCACTCGCAATATAATTTAGAACCGTAACGCGGATTAAAAAAACACAATCGAGAGACTGTATTGAAAGTTTTCGATGCTGAGATAGCAAATTAGCTATTTAATATGACAAATTTTGGGAACGTGAGACCGTTTCGGGCAATGAGTTAGCGCTGCGATCCCTTTCGGTGCAAATTATACTCAACTCTTGGCTCATCCCCTTGTCCACTCTACTTTGAGTAAAGGATGAACAACTTTATTTAGAGTGAGTGCACAAATATCCCGCAAACATAAAAGAAACCAATTACTGAATCCTAAATACATTAAGTGTCACGATACTCCACACATTCTATAAACTACCAAACAATCTTCTTTTCCTTTAGCCAGGGATTAACATCGTTAACAATGTGTTTATCATTATTTTTTTCTTGTCGATTAATCACCTCGTTGCCATTATTATAATAGAATATTTTCTCTTCGCCGGTATCCTTATCACGGAAACAATGTTTCACTTCTTCCCATATTTTTTTGGGTTAAATTTAATGCACCACCGAATAAGCTGAAATTTGCCATAAATTTTACCTGAATTCGCCACCGGATGAATTTCTTCCAACTTTAGCCTTTTTTGCCACCGATTTAGATGGTGGTTACCACAAATTTAGATGATCTGCCATCACCATATTTCATGACGATAAAACATGGATATACATGTTTGTAAAAAAATATAAGCACAATAATTTAAAGAAATCATGCTAATTTCCTTATTGCTGCATGTACCTGTGTATATATTTGTATATCATTGACTAGACTGGGCCGGAGAAGTGACGTATGTATTACCTTTCGGCTGGTCATCACTACTCTCACAGTTGTGCAGTTAAAATATATCTATCTGATTAACGTTTTTTAACCCAAAGAGATGACGTGTTCGCAAGTTTTTAATTGGACCAGTGATACCGAATCCTCTCTTTCTGAGGAAAATTCTACTAAACTTTAGAAACTCAAGCCTAGTTGCGTCTATTTAATACTCCTTTAGAGAGTAGTAGGATATCCGACTTAACCGGATTAATCCTATCCGAATCCAACAGGGTAGGATCTGATCTGATTTTCTATGACTCGACTAAGTCGGATCGAATTGGATTTCAAAAAAACATCAATCCGACTACACTATAGAGAAGTAGGATATCTAATTTAATCCAATTAATCGAATCCGACAGGCTCGGATTGTTTTAGGATCTGACCAGGTCTGATTGGATCGGATTTTTTAAGAATCCGACCAAGTCGGATCGGATTTTTAAAAAATATCGATCCGACTACACTCTGGTTTCCTGTGCTAGTAGTCTCTTAAAAACCGAACTTTTCACCCAGCCAGTATTACCGTTATGGCTTGAGAGATATCTAGCAATTTTAAATTTCTGTTGGAAGTCCTGAAAAAGGGGACGAAAGGATATAATTGGCTTAGTAATTCAGAACAGAGCTTTTTAATTAATTAGTGAAATCAATTAATTTGCTAATTAATTACCAATTTTCAGCTAATTAACAATTATAAATTAGTTAAATAAACTAATTAATTACTTAATTTTTGAGATTTATCTGGTTTGCGCTGTTTCGTTTTCCCAGGTAAAGTGGCGTTTTTTAATCTGGCAACTCTCCTATTCTACATGACTTATTTTCAAGCCCTCATAATTAAATTTCATGCAATAATTTCAACTTTGTTACAATAAATAACTGCATACTGTAAAGTATATAAGTGCCAATAATGGAAGACGATATTCTCAAAAATTAATATGAAAATCTTAACAAACTAACAATGTCAATACTCAAATACCATCATCAGCTCCAGTTGAACTTTACTTGATGGACTGATTATAATCATTCCATCAATTAAAGGATACATAAATGTATCCGAAATATGGGCGATGTTAAAATGTAACGATTATTATAAATTTGAGTTGCCGGTAATTATTTCTGCCGTCCGTAATTTTATATTGTAGCTTGTAAATTTGCGTTGAAAACAATTCTTTTTTTAACTAATTAATTATTTTTCGAGAAGTAATTAATTACTTTTTTTAGAAGTAATTAATTAGTAATTATAATTAATTAGTTGAAGCTCTCTAATTAAAAATTGATAATTAATTAGATTAAAGATGTCAGCGCTAATTATTAATTACTAATTAATTATTCTTTGCGTTAATTAAAAAGCTCTGATTCAGAATACGCTTTATGATGTTAGACTGGAAGCCACAACCGTTCAATTTGGTCAAGGGTCGGGAAAGCTAAACAAGCGCTCATTGTTATTTAATTTCAAGTGTATTTCTAAAAAAGACGTGTATATTGATGTATTATACAAATAAATAAATCAAAAATGTAAATTATATTGTTCTTATAATCCTATACTCATGAAATATGGTGATGGCAGCTCATCTAAATTTGTGGTAACCACCATCTAAATCGGTGGCAAAAAAGGCTAAAGTTGGAAGAAATTCATCCGGTGGCGAATTCAGCAAAAATTTGTGGTAAATTTCAGCTTATTTGGTGGTGCATTAAATTTAACCCTATTTTTTTCCCGCCCTTGGTCAACTTTCGGCTGATATTCCTTCCCGATCGGGACTGACAGTAGAGACGGAGAGTCAGAAAGTACACTCTAAATAAAGTTGTGGAAATTCTGCTCTAAAGGTGACCAAATTATACCACAATATTGTGTGAAATTTGGGACTGCTACGTTGTTATACAAATTTTACCCAACTCAGTTGGCCAATCACTTTACTCATTAATTGTGTAAAATTAACTAAGTATATTGTTAAATTTTGACCAATGCCAGCTGACAAACTTCATGCAATTAGAGAGTAAAATTCACACAACTCGAAACTAATTTTTCCTTCATTCATAGGTAAATTTTACTTTTATTTTTACTAGAATTTACTCCTTAGTTGATGATTATTTACTCCTTGGTTAATTAAATTGCACTTGAAAGTAGATTAAATATTACACCTTTATTTAAACCATTAGCATAATTTACAATATTCATTACATTTTTCACACATAAGAATTAATATTTATGTATATGTAATTAATTAAGCGTACGAAAAATACTGATAATTATAAACGCATGAAAGCATAAGATAAATTATCTAAAATATTATTTGAGAGCTAAGTGATAAAACGCAAGATGGAGGAGCTGTAATTTCGTTGATTTTGAATACTGAGTGGTCGAAAAAACTCCAAACGCCGTAGCATTCTTCAGGAAATTGCAATTGTAATACATGGAATATTTTGAAGCATGTATCCACCGCCTTGACGAGAGTTTCCGCAGCTATGAGTCGTCGTTCTACCATGATGTATGCTTGCTGAATGGTCAACGTTTTCAAATTTCCGACGCACAAAACAAATGGCTGCTTCCTGGTCAATTCCGATAATCGAAATGCTTCCAAGTCTTCAGTTGCCTGAAAAAAGCATTCAAAAATATTATGAATGAATTGAAAAATAATTATAATTATAATGCAATTAATTTTAAATGTTTCTTGAGCCTTACATTTACAAACTGGAGGAAAAAATGGGAAGACTGTCCTCCTGTAATTCTACGCCTTTTCTTTCCACTTCGAGTATATGCAGAATTCGACAATAAATACGGTAGCAAAATAAGTGAGCCGTTGTTGACTTGGTCTACGAAATTAAATATTATTATACGATTATTTAATTTAAATATTTTACACTCATTACCAGTTGTCCAATTATTGATATGCTGTTCAACTCCAAGCTCGTTTGTAACGTCTAATTTTGTATTTTTAGCGGCTTGCCAAATTTGTTGACCTATTTGAGTCCAGTTTCGAAGCATCAGCTCATTTTTCTCTGGGTGGCGAAAGAAGAGATCTTGATCAATCTAAAATGCGACAGATCTTGTACTTAATAATAAAATTATAGATGCTAAAACTTTTACATTTAATTAATTAATTATACCATTCCAACAGTTTCTAGTAAACGAGGCCACTGCGAAAGGGTTACCGAAATATCCTTTGTATTCCGAATCTCTGCCGTCCTCATAGGGTAGGTTTGCGCCATATATTCTAAAACCTGACTCTGGGGACTAGATGAGTAAGCCAGCCAAGATTTTTTCCCTTCGTCGTCTTCTGACGGAGCTAAACAAATTGTCAAAAATTCCATCCATTTGAATTTTGAAGAAACTGTCGATAAAATGCAAAATTACCGTATGATTCAGTGCTACTGCTGACGACATTTATTGACAATCCAACGCTGTACTTCTTCCGTAAATGCCTTAACCTTTCTTCAATTAGTCCTGATGCTGGAATTCTTTTTCGGACACTTGATCCTGTCGAATTTGATATGATGACTGTCGACGGACTATAAAATAAATTCTGAAAAAAAATCTTATTAATTTGATGAGAAATGAGTTAATTTCAATGTTTACTAACCATAATATCTTTTTGTTGCTGATTTGATAAATTTTGAAATAACTGAGATGCCACACATTCTGCGAGGTTTTGTTTCTCGTGCTTGGATGGACTATTTACATTCAAACATGATTTCATTAACTTTACCACCATACTTACTTATATGGACAATATAGTCGAGATTACTTACTAATAGCTGTACTGCTTGACAAGATAATTAGCAATGCGGCGTTTAATTACGTTCTTAATGCGGTAATTGATGACATTAGTTTCTCCAATTTCTTCTAACAATTGCTTGCCTTTTGTTGTACCTTTCTCCTCGTCAGACTTTAAAATAATCGACTTGATATCCTAAAATCACAAAAAAATATTATGAAAAAAACGCTAACAGAAATTAATAAAAAAATGTTTCATACAAATAATGGTTGCAAAATAACAACTGCTTCCGCTTGATCCACTGTCAAATCTCCAACACTCTCAGAATTTTGAGAATTGACGCTAATATTGTTGTCAATCTGTAATAAAAAAGATGGTTTAACAACCAATTACATAGCTGTGAATTAAAACAAAATTTGAATGCAATAAAATTTATGGTTCTTACAACTATTATTTTCATTGTTTCCTCCACTTGTGCTCGCTCTGCTCGCTGTTCAGTCTCTGAGCTTGATTTCCCTAACTATATATACATATGTACAAAAAATTCTTTTAAACTAATTCAATTGGGCAACAAATTAAACCATCACCATGCGGGTCATCCAGGTTGTTGACAACCAATAATGGATATTCTAACTCTAGGGTTTTAGGGTCAATTAAAATCGGTTTCCCAAAATCAGATATTTTAAACAAAAATGAATTAAAAAAATATTATTCACATTTTACCAGCTTTCCAACAACATGAGCCTTCTCGTCATAAATTAAGCACAAACAAATTTGGCAAAATTGCAACTCGGAAGCAGAGTCATTCAAAATGAAATAATTTCCAGATTGAACTTTTGTGCCATTAATTGTGAGCGAGTCAACAATAAGTAAATCGTCGTTTGGATTGATGGAGAGTTTAGAAAAATCGAACACAACCTTCAAATCGTTAAACATTGTCCTTGACCCGGACTTGTAATTTATTCCACTGCCTACTTCTTCACATAGTGAAAATGCAATGTTAAGTGATATGCGCCTTGCAATAGTCTTGGAAATATTTTTGAAATTGTACGAGTTTTTGCCAATAGTTTTTGCCAATCGATGCTTTGCTTCAAACCGCATGCACCAATATTGTTTAAGAGGTCCCAAGTGCTCTACAGCGTTGGCGTAGTGTAACAAGTGACGGAATTTTGGGGTCAAGTTACTATGAGCCAAGTTAATGAATCTTTCATGATGCTCAGAAATTAAATAATTTAGCAACTTGATCCCTGGCCTACTTATTTGTGGTGCCATTAAGATTCTAATAATCCTACGTAACCGTAAAACTAAAATCCAATGCTTATCGTCATTAGACAATTTATCACCAAATATGGCGGGGAAAATTAAGAAAAAGTGGCTCATTTCCGATGCAGAAAAGCAGGTTTTTTTGTCTCCTTCAACAAAACCGATGTCAATTTCTGGTAATTTGGAAATGGAATGAGAATAACTTTTAATGGACGATGATATCCTGTGGTTAATTTCTGTAAGAGAGAAAAAGCCGTTTTGGCACACATGCTTTAAAAACAGTTTTAATTCCGTTATACAAATGCCCTCCAGTACATCATGCATAATATCTGGAGCAAAGTTGGATGTAATGTGAAAACCTTTAATATCATTTAAAATAGTCCCTTCCCTAATACCTGTCAAGCTAACATTATTAATTTGTAAATCATTTTCATAGTCTTCTAGGCTTCGTCTTTGTGCGATTACTTCCTCAATGGCAGTGAAAGTCTGCTGCTTACCCATCTTACAAAATCTACATCTAAAATTTGCGTTAAAACTTTCTGTGAACCCAAATAGTGTATGCAAACCAAGATTATCGCCACAAAATTGAAGTACTTGTACATGTGTAAATGGAATCTTTGATAAAAAACTTAATCTGGTGGAATTTATGTGTAAGGAGTTTAATTCAATTACAATTGGTTTGAGAATTAAATTCATTCCATACTCCTTTAAATATTTAGACTTTACAATTAAAAGTGGAAAAATGTTATGTAACTGAACTTTTAAATGTGGAAGAAAATTGGAAATAGTAAAATAAAACATTGCAAGTTTATGAATTTTGGCTTTGGATCCTAACGGGTTACATATTTCTACATCATCATAATAAATTTGCAAACACAAAGGATTATTTTCGAAACTTCGAAATAATTTTCCTGACATAAAATTTTCAAAAATTTCTGTATTTGAATTTTGCCCTTGATAATTTGTGTTATCAAATTTTTTAGAAAGAATAAGGGGGAGCGTTTCGGACAATGGAAATTGGTAGGAATTGTCAAACTTTTCCATCATCAAACCAGAACTTCTATTGTATTTAAAGTGTGACCCTAACCTTATTTCTTTCGGGTCAACTAAAAGCGACCCTTCTCTTAAAAGTTTTTTCAATTTGATACTGAGAAGAATTATTACTTGGAAATGGGTCTTTCAATGTATTTAATTTTGTCACAACTAGTTCTGGGCTTGTGATTTTGATAGACAACTGTTTTGCAATTTCAATAATACTATTAACTAAAGAGTTAGCAGCGCAAAGAATGTCATTGCACTTTGATAAAGAAATTCCTCCTGACATTTGTAATGACTTAACAAAAATAAGTTTATAGTCGGCATTTACTTCCTGAATTTGCTGGGGTGAAAATATTTCCTGATTTATGTTTGACATTGTATTTACATCATCAATATTTTCTGTGTGCGTATAATTTGAGAAAAATGATCTAATCACTGGACAAACCTGTCTTTCAACATGTTTCTTAAGATTAAAAGAGCAAGTAAAAACCATTGAACATAATGGACAATTTAATCTAACCCTCCCATTGTTTCCAGTAATCTCGTGTACATCTCTAACATGAATCCAATAATCTTTAAAAGAGGCAAAATAACTTCCGCAAATACTACAAGAAAAACGTTGTAAATTTAATTTGCTTGACCTCAACTGACTAACCTCTCTAACAGCTGCAATTAACTTTAGTCGGTGACCAACCGATGGTACAATTTCAGCTAAGAGACGCTCCTCCATGGACCCAGCGGCACAATCCGTCAAAGTCTTCAAGACGTTGTCGTCGACGTCATTATCTATTGAGAATTTGCAAAATTTTTATTATGTAAAACCTTGGTATAATAATTATTTGTGATGTCCTTACCCTTAAACTTCTCAAGATAATGCGTGAGAGCACAATTATGCAGAGCACTTTCTAATAGTTCTGTCATGTTTGATTAGTTTTATAATTAATTATAAAATTTTAAGTGGTGAATAAATTATAATCTCTTCAACTCGGTCGTTATTTTCAAGTCTTCCACCTCGCGGTGGCGTTTGGTGGTGGCATACTGAGCAAACTTTTTTTAACCACTTGTTGTCCAATATTACCCCAAACTGTTGGTTAAATTTTACCCAACAATTGTGTAAACGGAAATTTACACAACTTTTGCTTAAAAATTGGCCAACTTATTAGTAATCTTTACCCAATAATCACCAAAAATAATTTTAGCCAACACGAAGACAAATTTAGACCAACATAAGTGCAAACTAAAATTACACAATCCCGTTGTGTAAATTTTGACTCCGTTACAACTATTTATTGGCCAAATTTCTTGCAAAAATTACCAATTTTCTTTTGCACAACTGGTTGTGCACAACTTTATTTAGAGTGTAGACTATTTCCAGTATGCTGAGAACGCAAAATCCCATACAGAGACCAAGCAACCCGCCGGTGTTGGCTGAAAAAATAATTAATCTTCGACTTTCATATGGCAGGATAAGTATTCATGTATAAGCTTCAGATAATACTGTGGTGGTGCAAAAAAATATATCCAAAAGGTTTCGTACTACGTCAAAACATTTTTCAAAAACTCTAAACCCTTCCCGAACGAAAAATTTCAAATTTCCCGTATCGCTTATGTTCTTAAAGATGTAAATAACACGGCTTCCCTGAACCGAAGGGTTCGGAAAGACCCAGGATTTTATTTACGAATTAACGTATTTTAATATTTTTTGGGGGGTTTTAAAGGGTTAACTATGGTGTGCTCATTTAAATAAGAGACTGTCTCCATAAGCTTTCCATGTAAAAAAGTCTCTTATTAAAATGATCAAACTATAGTTTATTATATTGGTTTTTGTTAGGTTTTGAGTAAAAAATGAAACTAAAAATTTGCTAAAACTTAGCACGCATTTATAATTTCGGAGATATCTTACAGATTAAGTCGATCAATCCGTACAATTCTTTTCTTTGCTTTGGGTATGTCGAAGCCGATACGTAATGGACGTGTAGAATTGACACGTTTCGTCCTGCCCTAAAAATAAAAGAATCTTATACCACACAAAATAAGAAAGGTCTCTTGAAAATCATTCCTTGAAACACAAAACTGACTTTGCAAAGGGTGGTTCCAAAGAGTTGCAGTGTCACGCTTACCCATCTTAATACAACTCCACTCACACATGTTCAAAAAATATTTATTCATTCAAGGCCTTGAAACAAATATTCATTCCTTCTTCGCTCATGCATAGTTTGTAAAAAAAATATTCATTAATTATTCACCATTTATTCATTATTCACTATTCATTCATTATTCATTTTACTCTAAATTCAGAGTTCTAGATGAATTTCTCAATTTTCCCTATGGGGAAAAATGAATGGTGAAAAAATATTCATTCATTATTCATTCACACGAATTGAATAGATATGCCTTCAATATGCGTTTATTCAAAAATCAGAGTAAAGTATTCATTCAATTTTTGAATATTGAATGAATAGTTTGTTCACTCATCATTAAATTAATGAATGCCAACATGCATGACTACACTGATTATTTCAATCACCTTCTCGACATGTTAAATCATTGGAATTTCGTAATAAGTATATGCGCTCTAAACAAAGTTGTAAAAAATTATCTGAAGGGTGAGTAAAAAAAGAGAATTACACAACACTGGAGTAAAATTTGTCAAAATAAAAATCCTTTCATTCATAGTCATTCATCTGAAATGATGGAATCGTTCTGTCATTTTGATTCAAATGACAGGAAATTCATTTTAATTCACTTTCATTTTCACCATCATCCTTAGTCAAATTAGAAATGAATGAAAGTAAACAGGTATGGTTGTAGAATCCTGTTTTTGCTCAACCTTGACTAAATTTTGTACAAGTGGATATAAAAATGTACCAGGACGCCTGAGTTCCATTTTTAAACTCCCACAATGGAATGTCTTGTCTAAGCGGGGCATAGGTAGATGACACTTTGAACTCGATATCATTGCAGGTTGGGAGGCACATTGGACACTCCGCTTCCAGCCCATCCTCAAAAAGTCGGTCTACATTTAGGAGCAGAAAATATTATTACTTCCTTTAACTTAATTATTTAATTGATAATAGCCTTGATACATTATTTTTAACGATTTGGAAATACATGGAAAAATACAAAAAATAATTAAATAAACGATAGGCTTGGTTAAATACAATATTGTTAGAAAACTAATTTTTCCCTAATTTATTTTGACCTTTACATAATGTATTCATTTTTTAGATCATTTTTACGAGTTTGTTTATAAGGGTTTTTTAATGTACGACTCCTTTGTAGTCAGCTTGTCCTACGTGTTTGATCTGATAATGTGTGTGCAACTATAATGTGAAAATAAAGTGCTTTCTTCATTTTTCCCTCATTAAAAGAAAAACTTTTTCCGAATTAGATAAGTATTCCTGTACTTTTGTCCCCATAAATTATTTCAGCAACACATACCAATTCATACTCCAGGTTCAACTGACTAGTATGTTCATAGCTAATCAGCCACTGCCGAGTATGACGTCTCCATAGGATCTATAAACGTCGGATTTAAAAAATCCGATTTTTAAACAATCCTTGAGATGTCTTTAAGACGTACTCCATATTGAACAACATACGAGACCCCTTAAAGGCATCTTGTTGATATCTTATAATCCGACATTTGTATATCCTCGAGACCTCACGCCCGTGAGTGGTCGATTGGGTGGACTTTTTCCAAATGAATCATTAATTTATTCAATTTAGCGAGATTTTCTATTCCGGCAAGGCGCTCTCCTACCTGGCTACTTGATAGTATGCAAAACGGTAATTAATTTGGCGTCATGGAACGGCGCCATTTATTCGCGTACTCCCCTTAATCTCTGACCTATTAGTACAACAACTATGAAGAAAATCTTACTTAGCAATGACTCCGTGCAATTGCGTTTCGATAATCCGCATATGTGATGATTTTCGCTTCCTGAGCGGGAACAAATAACAAAACATCCATTAATTTTGACAATCGGGTATAAAAAAATATTAGAACTGACATTACTTGGCATATAGAATCGCACGCAGGAACAATTTAGATTCGTGACATTTGCGACACACTCATTCTCGCAATTTGATTTTGTGTAATACTTGAAGTACTTGAGGGAATATTCCTGACCAAAGTAGCACTTGCGTTTCTCCTGTAAATTAAATTTCAAAAATGTACAGAAGCTCACAAACGATTGGGTTTGTTGGGAAAGTGCGCCCTAAAATATGGGAAACTGATAAATATTGTATGGTCTTTCGGGCATCAAATTTGTGATTAAAACACAAAAGTTTCACATAAAATCTCTTGAGTGGAGGGAAACAGCGCTAAATTAAAATTTGTATTTTAAATTACTTTTTTCGCCCCCGAAATACAAAAACAAAATTTTGACCCCAAAATTACTTGTAAGATAATTATAATTATAATTAATTACTAATTATAACTTAAGATAATTATAATTAACTACTTTTTACACAACACGACGGAATTCCATTTTTCAAATTTTTTTAAAATTCAATTTCACCCCCATGTGTCATTAATTTTCTTAAACGTCACTTAATTATGTTTCCAATGACACCTATCTGGCCCATTTCGTCGCCAAAAAGGTCATGACCTTTTTTGTTAATTGGTCGGAGTGTCAATTTTCTAACTTGATCTGTCATCATAATCATGACAAATCAAGCTTCCTTAGTTTGTTTAAATGTGATTCGTAACATAAAAGTAATTCTTTGGGGTCAACAAATATATGTTTTGTGTTTTGGGGCGAAAAAGTTATTACAAAAAATCAATTGGAAGTTGTTTCCCTCCATTCGAGAGGTTTTATATTAAACTTTTGTATTTTAGTCAGAAATTTGATGCAAGTCCCCAAAATAACAATTTCCCATATAGGGCGCACTTTTCCAACCAACCCATTCGTTGTGAGCTTCTGTAACTGTCAAGTTATTTTTTGGCTTTTTTTAAAATCTATTTTATGTACTATTGAAAATTCCTTGATTTGAGGTCCAGCAGTGATTACATCCGGCTCGACTTTGAGATACGTTTCTGTACCAGGCTTGATCGGGACACCTTTATTCTCCACATCAGGAAGGTGCAGGGGCAGATGAGCCAAGGCCTAGTTAAAAATATTATTTTTTTCAATTTTTCCCTCAAATTAATTGTTTCATGTCTTAGAGTCTCTCCTGCATATTATAGTGAACCAAATATGAAATTCTCTAATAATTCCAATAATTGTTACCCAGCCATCAGGGTTCGGAAAAACGCGGGGTTTTACCCTGAAAACAACTACCCCGGGGTTTTACTGGGTTTACTGGGTTTTGGGGTTTTACTGGGTTTTACTGGGTTTTACTCAATGTTTGGGGTGAACTAACATAATTTACAATGTTACGTCAATTTGTTAAATTAATGAATTCTATCAAGATTTATCAAAAAACTTCAATTCAAAATGCCAGGAACACAAGAAAAACACGAATTTGATCAAACTCCAAGTTAAGCTGTAAATTATGATTTACAGATCATAAACAAAAATTCGAAATAAATAGAAATTTACTGAATATTAATCAGAGTACTTAATTCGAGTTAGATATGCAGCTGCAAACTGATTCTACTGATTTATCTATTTGAATTATAGATAAAACTGAGTAAAACCCGAGTAAAACCCAGTAAAACCCCTTTAACATAGTAAAACCCGCTGGGTCTTATTAATTTACGACCCAGTAAAATCCAGTAAAACCCCAAAACCCCAACCCAGTAAAACCCGGGGTCGGAATACCCTGCCAGACATGAAATTTGGTAATTCAAGGATTTCATGCTTAATGAAAAGTTGCATGCGCCCTTAAATTGATCGCCTAAAATTCGAAATTAGATACTTCTAATATATTTTTTAGCATATGTAACTAATTTCAGATTGTATAATTACATATACCGAGGGTAAGGCTTCTTTCTTCCTTCTAGGTCAAATCTAACCTGACTTCGAAACTAGAAAATTTTAAGTTCTATTTTGTATTAAGAATTCTGCTTTCGAACTATACAATTTAAGATATGCGATATATGTATTTAGACAAAGATTAGCTTATTATAGAAAATCCATATATTTACCATAAATCCAACGGAGTCCGTACTTGCACAAAAATAATCATCCATTTCTGCATCGAGTAAAATTGAAAGGCCTGTCTTTTTACCAGGTCGACGCTGTCGCCGAGGAAATTTGGGTAGATTTCCGTATATTTGTTTATATTCCGTTTCAAAGGTGAATTCATTGTCGAGAATCATGTTGTCCGTGTCAAGATTTAAGGAATCCCAGTCGGTAATTCGCACCTTGTCGTCTCGGATATCATTCCTGTAAAATTGCA